CACAGGTGTCTCTGGCCTCCTAACATTGTCACAGTTTACTTACTACCAAACATGCACTGCTCTGCAATATTCACCCAGTATTTTCAGCCCTGCATTTGCTTACAGCATTATAATGTTTTTGTTTTTTTTGAGAACCTACAAATCAAACCGGTGTGGCATGATAGGAGAAATTACGACCATACAAATCCCCCACAGGTGTTGCTGACCTTCTTACATGTCACAGTTCACTTCCACCCAAACATGCACTGCTCTGCAATATTCACTCAGTATTCCCAGCCCTACATTAGCTTACGACGTTACATTGTTTTTATTTCCAGTTAAACATACTTTCTTTTTCAAGTACCAACAAATTAAATTTCTGTGGAATAAGAAGAATCTACGAAGGCACAAAACACCTACAGGTGTTGCTGGCTTACTAGAACATGTCACAGTTCACTGCCACCCAAACACGCACCTATGCGCACATACCAGCCTGGCTCTGAGCCCTCTACCTGTTCCACTTGCTGAACCCAGCACACCTACATACATGCATATGCTTAGTAAGTTATGATGTTACATGGCCCTGATGTCCAGTCCCCACTACCACATACTGTGGCCTTACCAATTTATTTCCTTGCTTTTCAGGCATTTAAATGTGAAAATACAGACATCATACTATTCATAGAAGCAGAGGACAGGGGGGAAACTTGAATATGACTCAGTGTCCCAAAACATAATACTGGTCCTCAGGCCTTGTTTTTATTTGTCTTTTTCCCTGTTAAGCATAGTCTCTCTTCGAGAACCAACAAACTAAATTGGTGTGGCCTGACAGGAGAAATTACGACAGCACAAATCACCTAGCCTCTACCAGGCTTCGGGAGGCGGCAAACTGTACTCTCTCTCGTGGACCAACTCTCCCAGCATGCTAATATCTCTTTATTTCAGTATTTGGCCGATTTCTACTCTTTCAGCCGCCTCCCGAAGCCTGGTAGAGGCTACGAATCCCCCACAGGTGCCTCAGCCTGCTTACATGTCACAGTTCACTTCCACTCTAACACACATACCTGCCCAGCTAGCTCTGAGCCCTCTACGTGTTCCAGTCGCTGAACCTTACAGCACACCTACATGCCAGGCCGACCCACAAGCCCCCGTTTCTATGACAAAAGCACAAAGCCTCGCTATTACGATCCCCCCTCCTCTTTCAGGCCGTGTTTACTAGAGGGACCCGGTGAGTATCGGTTTACCCGACCCCCATCCCTGTCCAGTTGGCCGTGGTAATCCCGACATTAGAGGCTCTTGAGCCGGCGTGAAAGGGCCATTCAGCGGGCACAAGGGGCGATACACCAGTCACTCGGACGGGCACTTCATGCCTGCACCTTACACAAACGATCGTACAAGCTGGAAAACTTGGATGACGTCTTAAACATGCTGAGAAAGTGACTCAAGCAGTCACTTCAAGCCTGCACCTCACTCAAACTTCTTGTGCTTCAATTGTACAAGTTGTCTTTGCTGCAAAACTACTAGGGTGTCTTACTCAATGTCCTTTTGCTGAAGACCTACATTGTAAGCAAAGCCACAACAACTCCAGCAGTCACTCCAACTTGCTATGCCAATGGTCTATTGTACTAGCAGCTGAAATAAAAGATGACTTTGTAGCTGTCATACTTAAAATTGTCTTCAAGGCTGCTTTGTACAGTTTAAGGAAGAATTAAAAGCAGCCACAATGACTTACATGACTTAAACGTAAATGTAACTTCCTTGTCTCAAACTCTTAACAATTACTGAGTGTCTTTCTGTTGTCTTACTACTTTCACAAAATGTCTGATCGATGAGTTGCCGTCTTGACTTGGCATGCTAGTCCCAGTGTTACACACTACTGCTCTGTCTGCTCACAAGGAAAAATTAAGACTTAGTCTTAAAGCCACGGTGAGTGAATGCCTTAGTCCATGTCTCAGGCGATTTGCAGGAGAATTAGGCGAAGTCACGATAATTGGACGTCTTAATCACCGTATTACACACTTAGGCCACACCAATTAAATTTGTTGTTTCTCAGATTTTTTCCAGAAAAAAACAACAGGCACCCCATGATAGCCAGAAATGTTACGATATGAGCCATGAATTCAACATACCAGGCTGGTTTATAATTAAAACAATACATTTTGAACTTTTGAGGAAACAAAGTTGCATTGTTACATTGAAAAACTTTAACAACTAGGAAGAAAAGGACTTTCTTCAACCAATGGGGCCAAAGCATGTCTTTTATTGAGCATTTTGTAGTTGATTCAGAACCTAAAATCTTTTTCTTTTTTTTGCAAATCAGAAAAAAATGGACAGGGTGAATCCGGGAAACAACAAATTAAATTGGTGTAGCCTAATCGCTGTATTACACACTCAGCTGCAGAATTAGGTGAAGCCTTTTTGAGCTGACTTTAAATCTGATGTACAAAGATAAACATCCTCTGTTGTTTGTCCAAAACACACGAACGTCGCATTATTTTTGGCAAAGACTTTTGCGCGCTGGCTTGACTTTTAAATCCCTGCCTCTATAATTCTGGGTGGCAGGGCCACGCCAATATTTAATTAGTTGATCCACAGATTTAAAATGAACATGCAACACTGGAAAAACGTAATGAAAGCAACACCTGAAGACCAGGTTCATGCTTTGGTGCTCTCAATTTTCTGGAGTGAATAAAGTCAAGTTTTCCTTCTCAGCCCTTATGATATCAGCTTGCAATATTTTCACCTGAAATGTCCAAAATAAATTGCTTGCCCAAATTTTAGAGACTTCAGTCACAAAAACAGCATCAACCAGTGAATCAGTTTGAATTTTTTCCCAAACAACACTTGACGTCAAGAAGACAAAGCATTTTTTTCATGAAATATGTTCCTGTCTGTTGTAAGCCACACATACACGTAGATGACAACACGACCTGCTAGACCCAGAGGTACTTACTAACACCATACTTACATACAGAAGGTCACTCCTACATAGACCGGCCTAATGGAGTCTTGTTCCCGGGATAGAACCCGACCTTGACCTCTGACCTTAAGCTTGTTCCCAGAGTGCCCCACAACCTTGGCCTCTGACCCTATAAGGCTACCTTTGGTTACGCCTGACTCCCACCTTCAGTTTGCCAAAGTGGTTATTTCTCAAGGGCGACTGCGGAAGGCTCTGTTGCCATGGCAATGACAGCTGTCATCTTTCTTGTGTGCGTGACCTTGGGAGATTATTCTCCTGTGACCTTGGGAACACCTCCACTACAGTCTCAAGTTTCAGGCTGGGAAGTTGACTGTAACAGTATTTATCTGTCAAGTTTTAACAGCTGGTTAGCTCTATTCAACTCAGTCTGTTAAGTTATATTATACAGAAATGGAAAAAAGGTATTGCTGAATTTCTTAGGTGTAGGCCTACCCCCTTTACAGAAAAAAATTGTCAGTCACAAAAATTAAAAATGCACTTTTCTTCCTATTTTTCCTATTATTATGGTGTGGTGTGGTCAAAGTAAAAAACTCAAACCAAAACATACATGCATGTGATCTCCAAGGAGTAGATAATATTTTAGAAGATGCAATCCAAAAAGAATTGCAGTAATTTCATTGAATAAATCTGGAGCCCAGAAGCCGCCACACAGAAGCCGCCACACCAACGCTACAGAAGCCGCCGCACAAACGTAACCTTACAGAAGCCGCTACACAAACGTTACATGTGTCAATTATCATGTCAACAACACTTGCGTGTCAGCAGGGTCCAGGGTGTGACAAATACACACGGTCAGGACTAATTTGGGCAGATGGACCCGGGCTTCCTACAGCCCAAAATACTCAGGATGTCACCTCAGTCAGGACAAGACTTCTTATTCTGTCCTCAAATGTCTTGGTAAATCTTAAGGTTCCCTCAAGAAGGTGTAATGTCTTAAGAAACTTAGAATTTGGGCAGATGGACCGGGGCTTCCTACAGCCCAAAATACTCAGGATGTCACCTCACTCAGCACAAGACGTCTTACTCTGTCCTCAGATGTCTTGGAATGGACGGGAAGATCTTAACGTTCCCTCAAGCTAGAGGGTGTAATGTCTCAAGAAACTTAGAATTTGAGCAGATGTACCCGGGGTGTTTCTTGCCCAAAATACTCAAGATGTCACCTCAGTCAGGACAAGACACCTTAACACTGTCCTCACATGTCTTGGAATGGACAGGAAGATCTTAAGGTCCCCTCATGAGGGTGTATTGTCTTAAGAAACTTAGAAAATTCTAAGATATTTTAAAGTGATTATGAACATAGATTGAAATGTAATTGCCAACACAAAATTATGTTGGCAATTACAGTTCAATCATGTTCATATTGACTTCTACCAACACAGATGAACTTTCAAGATAATAATTAAATATGAGTGTAATTGGGTTCGATGAAGTGAACTTACCCAGTTCAGTGCACTTGTACAGTATGAAATGGACTGAAACTTACCAGTACTTCATGTGAGGCATGGCAGACCACATAATTACTGACCAATTATCAAAATCATTCGTTAAGAGTAAGATACAGTCTGCCAGTGTTTCTAACATGAGTTACAGCAGACAGACATGTGTACTGTGCCATGTTTGAGCTATTGCGCTGCAAGGCATATCTGAACTTATGGATGTGTGATCATGAAAAGGACTGTAAGTTACTTAGTATAACTCCTACCAGTTAGTATGCAAAAAGCTAGAATAGGAAAACATTGCAAGGATTTACAAAGAAACTCTGACAGCTGAAGCTGCTCACAGGGAAGAGGACACAGTGGAACTAAACAAAGAAAGACTATGGGGCATACCATAATGGTATGTGTGATCATAGAAAGGTGTGGTTCTCAAACATGTATTGAGACCATCAAAAGGACTAGAAGTCCTACCAGTTAGTGTGCTTAAAGCTAGAAAAGGAAGACATTGTGCAAATCTACAAAGTGCCCATAAGACAGACCTCAAAACTACTAAGGAATATGAAAGATCTGCAAAGACATGACAAGACCTGCAGTTCCTACAATGGTCACTGGGGGAGATACTGACTGGTCAACATCTAGGGCACAAAAAAAGGGAAACACATGTATAGGATGTACATACATGCATATTCTAACCTTCATCAAAATTAGCCTTCACCAGGCCTTTCTACAGGAATACGGATCGTAGAATTCGGCAAAAACGAGAGTAAAATTGGCCAAGGGAGTCTGGCCGCGGGGAGGTAGTTTCCTTCCCTCCGAAGCTGCGCAGAATAGTCAAACCCCAAGGTGGCCAAACTCCCCTGGCAAATATTCTCCTATAAATAGCCACCTTCATTGACATCTTCTTTTTCTTAAACGTCAAGGCAACAAAACCTTGTCCCTACCAGAGTTGTTCCTTAATAATTTTTGTCTAGAACAGAAAAGCGAGATTGTGTTCCTACCATGTAACTGGGACTGTAAGAGCGGGTAGACCCCCAAACGTCCAAAATCTGAAAAACAAAAAGGTGACGATTACAAAAAAATCAACGAGAAAGTTGTAACAAAAAACCTACCATTAATAACCATAGGGTCTTTTGAACCTCTGGGATTAAATGTATTATATGTTAGCCTAAAACGAAGAAGAAACAACCAAGTTATCATATCAACCGAAAGGTTCATCCTACCTCAAAACTATCCTGCAATATTGGACGTAACTACACTTTCTTAGAGCTAGACATGTTTTGTCAGCACGTGGCACAGCAGCTTTATTACACTGAAAGACCTCTCACACCTATCCTTTCATCATGAATGAATGTATGAAGCTTCATTTAGGTGTCTTGCACTTTATATGCCCAGCCTGTGTGGGCTTATACCACAGCAGAAGAAAATACAGAATAGATGATACATAAATTAAGGGTACAGAGGTACAGACTGACACAATCAACCAGTACTGAACTAGTTCTAGGAAATCTGACGGCTGAAAACATCCTAACCAAACCCAGAACCTCCCAGCCTGGTCCTGACTCTAGGACTGAATCAATTCTATTTCTTTCCCAGTTTGTCATCGTTAAAGCCAGACTCTGTCAGATCAGATTGGTCAGGGCTTCGCTCTCGGGCCAGGTTAGGCCTAGGTAAAAATGTTGTGTTTTCTGTTTAAGTCCTGAAAAAATTAGGGTTCATTATCTTTTTTTTGCTTTTGTTTTTATTAGACTTTGGCAATCTCTACTGATTTAACTTAGTAGTAAAACATGGAGGACACTTTCTCAATGTCAGTGTAAGAAAACTGATTGTACAATGTTTCATCACTCGGGAGGCATGTGTCAGCTCAAAAAATTTATGTCCCTTGCAGGGGTCCACATAAAGAAGGCTGGGGTTGGCAGTTTTTTATAGGGTTGGTCAGGAGACTGGAAACACAACATTTTTGCTAGGCCTAGATGGAAAAACTGTAACAACTCTGAAAAGAAGGGACTTCCTTTAACTGTTGGGGCCCAAAAAATAGCGTTTTGGACTTGATTCAGAGGCTGAAATGTTTTTTTTTTTTGCAAATCAGAAAAAAAATGAAGCGAGCGAATCTTTGAACCTGAAGTAAATTGGTGTGGCCTTAGACTAAAGTTAGAGCCAGACTCTGTCAGCTCTGATCATTCGAGGCTTCGCTCTCGGACCAGGTTATTGATCAGGTGACCTGCGGCCTATTTGCCGTGTCGCGGGGACAATCGGACTCATCTGCTCACGAGTCGCGCCGCAAAACGAACTCATCAGTCACGGAGGGCAAGGCTGTCTGGTGGTCAGGGTCGTTGACTTTTAGAATCTGAAGGTTCTTAGCAGGCAAGGTGGTCTTTCAAATTTCAACTTAATTTATTCCGTTAACTTTGCAGAAGTAACATGACAAAATGCACGAGTCGCCGCGCCAAACAAACTCATCAGTCATGGAGGGGGGGTGGGGGGTGGAAGGCTAGGGTCATTGACTTACAATTTGAAGGATCTAGGTTCCTTCTGAATTTGAACGTTGTTGGCAGGCCTTTCAACATCCATCTACTTTGCAGAAGTATCGGTACATGTATGACAGTAACCTTCTGAACTGCTTTAATTTGATTTTACACAGAAAGCACACAATATGTAGATAGAACATGATCTATGACACAGCCTGGTCAAGGAACATTGACTTGGAATATAAAGGTTCTGGGTTCGAATCCCAGGCAGGCCCCACTGTTGTTACCTTGTTACTATCATGATCTAAAGGACTCATGAAAGAATAAGTAAAACTGTTTTCCATAAAACAACAATGTTACGTCTTTTCTATCTCTCCAGTCCAAGGAACTTCTTACATGTACTGAAGTGCATGTAAGATACATCCACAAAACATCCCACCTGCTGCACAACTATAACTACAGACCACAACGTCATTGTCCAATCGTAATCTTTTATTATAGAATATTCAGGCCTTCCTACTTTAATTTGCTTTAATATTTTATGTCCCAACAAAATGAAGTACGTAAAGTCATCCCCAGAAGCAGACTACTTCCCATTCCTGTCTTTACTGGTGACTTTAAATGTGTCTGTATCTGTCTGAAATGTAAAATTAAACACACTGTAAAAAGAAGAACTAGTTTTAACATGGAGCCCTTATCTATATTCTATAAGTTCAGGTCAGGGGTACAATATATTATGTTCTAAAATGTAATGCGTCTAGAGTTTAATACTAACTGGTACAGCAGTGTAATTCCTTTTGTTATTGGCTACTCTCAATGTAAAATTAAACACACGATAAAAAAAAAGTACAATTGTTGACCTACAGTTGTCATTCTATAATCTAGAAGTATATATTAGATGCATGATATTAGACAAATAAAGAAAAAAGATTCAATATGTACAAAATGTACAAAATGTAATAATACCTACTGGTAAAGCAGTATACTCCTTTGCGATATTGGCTCTTATTCAAAGTTAAACACAGTAAAAAGAACAAGTAGTCGGTAGTGTTGAGCTAGAGCCATTCTACATTCTAGCCAGAGGTTTAATATTAAATATCCCCAAAAGTAGTCAAATGTAATATATATACTACTGGTATATCGGCACATTCCTCTGTGATATTGGCCCTTATCGATGTTAAATTAAACCCACAGTAAAGAGAACATGAGTGCTGACCTTGGGCGCCCCAGCCCAAACACATTTGACCTTCAGGATCAGCCATGTTGACATTCCAGAGTTTCAAGAGTGTCGGCAAATATGACAGGCAGGGGTGTTATCATGTTTAACAAACTGAACAAACACTACAGTTTCTGGGGACACTGTAATGTGGTAACCTGTTTCTTCTAATGTTTGCTTTAAAAATGTGTATCTAAGAAAAGTTTACTTTGAAAATATTAATTTCTAAAAAGACAATATGTGTATACTGATTCATGATTGTAAAAGTTTTACGAAAGAAAGCTTTTCTAAGAAATGACATACTGCCTTGGCTTGGCCCTCTCTACTACAGTTTTGTCATTTCTCACACGCCTTTTCATAAACAGTACTTGGTATCAAGAAACAGCACTTAGAACTGTATTTTTTTATTACCTGGAAAGCCCAATACGTAAGCTCTTAAGATCAAAGCCCATCTACTGTATACTTTGCTATATTGTAAAACAACAAACTACCTTGCCACAGCCCTCTCTACTGGAGTTTTGCCATCTCTGAGCACACTGACTGTTTGTGTAAGGCCCTCGCCATGTTTGTGCCTGTAGATAACCCCCCTTTCTTTATTACCCAGCCTCGGAAAGACAAACTTACACAAACCGACACACAAGATAACAACAGCCAGCCAAAACAACCAGCACAAAAGTCTTCTGACTAATTAAACCAGCGCAGATGTTAACGAGACAGAGGGCTTAAGTGCTGATTACATATCGCTAATTGATTAATTAGCTTTCACGATGTTTTTAACTTTCAAAGTGTTTATGTAAATTTGCATGTGTTTCAAAGGCTAGAGAACTATATCTAGTAGTACGGCTTCATATTTGAATGGTCAGGGCACGCAGACTTGCCAATTCACATTTTCCAAAATAAAGTAACGCAAGCATTTAAGGGGGCCTGCAATCCCTTTTTCGTAAGGCGTAATCTGGCCTTTTTAGTCTTCGTAATCTGTATGTAGGCAGCCTCCCCAAAAATCAACGTAATTCGTAATAGTACATTAGCCACAAAGCATAAAGTTGTAATCAGCTCTGAGAATTTAACATAATTCGTAATAGGCGGCGAAAATTTTGCGTAATTCGTAATCACTACCCCCCCTTGCAGGCCCTCCCTTAAGTTAAAAGCAGTAAGCAAGTAAGCACTACCGGTACTTGTACTAACGTAATTCAAACTATGGTAGAATCAATCACTAGAGCAATAATAGCCCCTACAGCAGTTCACTGATACCTTGGTATGTTAAGGGTTAAGCCCAAACAGGTGGCCGTTGTGGATTGCTGCTGACCCATGCATGTATTTACACAAAAGACGGTATCAGAACACAGGTCTTCTGTATCAGTGTGGGAACAATATACCACACTGTGCAGGGGCTCCCTCTAGCAGCGAGGGTGGGCACTGCAGTTTGGATTGCTCTATGTGAGAGGTGATTTTCTATCATGAATCATGTCTATATATTGAGTTATGGTTTCTATTTGGGACCAAGAATTGGGGTAGATAAACAGGGGTGTGAGTGAAAATATTGCTACTATTTCAGATTGTGTCATAATTATGTGACTGAGAGAAAATATTGTTGCTATCTTAAATAGATTGTGTCATATGTTAAGTTCTGTCATCATTTATCCATTGACTTATTTTGAGAAACAAGTAGATTGTGGAGACCATATATATAGGTACACACAAATACAACTGCCTATAAAAGTGTTAATATACAGAACAGATGAGTGCCAATAATTGTGTAAAATCTACTAACTGATTGTCACATATATAAGCCTTTAGGCTTGACTTAAGGTTTCATTTTGAGTTAAACCAAGCACAAGATTTTACGATGCTGGGCCAACTGAAACAGATTATTGCACAGTTGGGCTCTGGCCACAAGTTTGACACTGATGCTACCAGATGGATGATTTTTCTTTGTCTCTTTGTGGGCAGAAATTACGATACAAATCAATGAATTATCTCAGCATTCTTTTCTTTTCCAGTCCTTATGAGGTTACCTAAAAATGAAATTGATTTCTGTTGCTTTTAAGGCTTTGAAGATAATGCAAAAGTACAAAAGTACAAGTTCCATCATACTTGTACATGTAATTTTTGATAGGTAAACCTACAGTCAAACAGGTGCAGTCAAACCTCTGCATAAGAACCACCTGGTCATTGTAACTACTATTTGGTGGACCCTTAGACAATTTTCTCAAGTATCACTAGTCTTGAAGATTCCTGCCCACATAGACCAGATATTAACAGTCCCTCAGTGTCTTTTTCTGCAGGTTGACAGTACACTGTTTGTTTCTTTCTTGATATAATATGTACTTACCGGCAGCTGGTATCTGCTGTAGTCTGACCTGGAATATCTAAGCACTGTACATTGTCTGTTTGTTTACTTACCTGCTGTAGTGAGTATCTAAGTGCTATACATGTTTGTTTATTTGTTTGTTTGTTTGTTTACTTACCGGAGGCTGGTAACCGCTGTAGTGAGGCCCGCTGTATCTAGGAGCTCCCACAGGAAAGCGATACTGCCCCGCCCATCCTGCAGCAGCTGATGGAGCCTGTTTGTTTGTTTGTTTGTTTACTTACCGGAGGCTGGTAGCCGCTGTAGTGAGGCCCCGAGTATCTAGGAGCTCCCACAGGAAAGCGGTACATTGTTTGTTGTTTTGTATTTGTTTGTTTGTTTACTTCCTAATTAATTTTTTAAATAATTTTTGGAGTCCACAGAGGGGCGTACCCAAAGGAGTCACTCACTTACATACTGGCCCATATAAATACGCACAGACACCTACAGATTCTCTTTTTTTCCCCGTACTATCCCACAGTGGAACTCCTTACCCGCTGGCGGCCTGCCCGCCCTAACCTGGACCTCCTTTCCTTAACGGCACCCCTTGCGTTTTTTTTTGGGGGGGGTACCTAAGAAGAAGAAAACTTACCGGAGGCTGATACCCGCTGTAGTGAGGCCCGGAGTATCTAGGAGCTCCCACAGGAAAGCGATACTGCCCCGCCCATCCTGCAGCAGCTGATGGAGCCTGTCCGCTGTACGGCTGCCCGATGTTCGGTGACATGCGCTTGGACGTGTAGACTCTGGGAGACTGGGGGGAAACAGAAAAACAACTGTTAGGGAAGCAGTACATTGCTTGTTTGCTTGTTTGTTTGTTTGAGGCGGCTGATGGTGCCTGTCCGCTGTACGGCTGCCCGATGTTCGGTGACATGCGCTTGGACGTGTACACTCGGGGAGACTGGGGATAACAAGGAAAAACAGTATAAACCTAATGTACACTTGAAAAATAGAAATGGTATAGAATGTGTACAGAAACAGAAGCGGTGGCTGATATCCGCTGTAGTGAGACCTGGAGTATCTAGGAGAAGCAGAACATTGTTTGCTTGTTTGTGTGTTTGTTTGTCTGCTGTAGGGCTGACCGATGTTCGGTGACATACGCTTGCTGGTGTACACTCTGGGAGACTGTAGAAAATACAGAAACAACAACATAGGAGTTCCCACAGGGAAGCAGTACATTGTTTGTTTGTTTGTTTGTTTCTTTGCGGCTGATGGTGCCTGTCCGCTGTACGGCTGCCCGATGTTTGGTGACATGCGCTTGCTCGTGTAGACTCGGGGAGACTGTGGGGAAAAAACAAAGACTGTATCAAACATGTGTGTACTGGAACAGAAATGGTATCAAAAAATCAATTAAAAACTTGGCCCAAACTAAATACATGTACAAATGCTAACAAGAAACGTTTTATCACCAAGTCTCATCAATGGAATGCTTTGATTTTCTTAAATGACATGGATTTTTATTTTTGTGTTCTGATTATGTATGGTTTGTATCATATTCATATCTATTATTGTTATTTTGTGGCCATCTTGCGTTTTGTATGTGTGGACCACGGGGAAGCTAATTACGTTTGTACTTAGCACGTAATTTGAAATTTGACCACTAGCTTTTACAGTAACGTACTGTGCAACAATATGGGCTGTAACCTACATGTAGTTTACCAATCATTTACTAACAGGTAGCTAAAGTCACACCTGTGACCCTGTCTACTCTTACACCTGTTGGGTCTGACACCTGTCCTGCGTTGCACTTGTCTAGCCTTACACCTGTTGGGTTTTACACCTGTCCTGACACCTGTTGTGTCTGACACCTGTGCCCACAGACAGACAGGTATGTTTGAGGAGGGATTAGTCCCCTGTTTGCAGAGTACTAAACTGTGTCAGACATGTTGACTTAATGTCGCAGTGCTGCATGGTTCTTGTGAGACACAGTTGCTCTGTCCTCTTTGAGGAGAATTTTTTTTATTTACGTCAATTTTCACCTCAAAACAAGGTTCAAAACACATGCGTTGGGTTACATTAAGGAATAGTGGAGACAGATGTTTGTTCACCCTAGACTTGAAAAGTTTAAGGTTGTACCCATTTGGAAAATCACAAGGAAGCTTGTTCCATAGTGATGTAGTTCTAGGAAAGAAGCTTTCAGCATGGAACTTGCAATAACTAAAATGACACACACAGACAAGAACCATATGCCAACGTTCATTTTGTTATATGTGTGTATTTGAAATAACATTTATGTTTAAGGATATATATTTATGGATTTCTTAGAACTTCAATCATATATCCTGTACCTTGTTATGTTTTGCCTCTGACTTCTTCCCTCATGACCTCAACAAATATTTTATGAATAAACAAAAGCTGAAAAAAAAACCTGTTCAGAAATAAAATTCAAACACAAACTCTGCTATACAATATCGACAGAAGGCATAATGTATAGTGTAAGGCAAACATTGTATAATGCTACTATATCTAGTACCATCTATACATGTATGTAGATTGTAATATTGATTGAAGACTTTATAATGCATAATGAGTAAGGCAAACTATTATATAGTATTATGCAAGACTACAGGCAAGTCAATCTAGCAGATTCTATTATACAAATTGAAGAGGCAAGGCATTGTATAAGTCTACTGTCTAGTTAATCTAGTAGAATTTCCAGTCTATTATATGACTTACAGTCTGTATATGCAGATGTCCCAGGTGATTGATGGTGAGTGCAGCACAGTGCAGCATAATTAGGTTTTATTGCAGATTGATTGACAGCTCGTTGCCACGGCGATCAATCAGCCGCAGGTCGCCCATGCCCATATAAGGACACGCCCACTTAATTTGGTGTAATCTGATCTCTGTGTTAACCTTTACGCAGCTTAGGGTGACATGTAGCGCTACTGTAATTTGACACTTTAGACATGTACAGATACAAATCAGACTAAAGGGTTTAATACCAGTCACTTAGGATTTTAAACACCATTTATCAAATCTCATGCACACAAAGTTGGAGGCTTAATACACAAACTCAGTATAGAAACCGGAAGATTTCAAAGGCTTCCTATTGACCAGAGGGTTTGTCCATTCTGCCCAGAACTAGTTGAGAATGAGTATCACTTTTTGATGGAATGTCCTAAGTATGTTGAGGTACGCAATTCATTAAATACGAAACTATCGTCATATGTACCAGAATTTACATCGATGGATTTAAGTAGCAAATTTAAGATAATAATGACCTGTGATAACCCATGTATGGTAGATATAGGAATGTATATCAAACAATGTCTAGACATAAGAAATTCCTCCAATATTGTAAAAGTTCATTCACATCCTATATCAGCCACAAACTCCTGTATTAGTTAGTTTAGTCCATAGTTAAGTTTATAGATAAGTTTTGCCATACTTTGTACCATGTACAACTGTTGTGCAATAAAGTTATTATTATTATTATGTAATTCAAGATGTATGACGTGATTTTGTAATCCGTGTCAATTATCATGAGGTTATATGTTCATTCCTGACCAGAGTTTGTGTTTGAAATTCTGGTCAAACGACTAGTGTCTAGTTATATTAATATAGCACAATCTACACATACATTGTAGAAGCCAAGCTTTATCCTAATAATGATAAGGGCAATGTAAGACAAAGAATTGTATAAGACTAGAACCAGTCACATTATTCCACATAATCTACATGTGGATTCAAAGGTATACAATATTCAAAAACACTATCCCCCCATGTAGAGCCTCCTGTCACCCCTGCTTAAAGACTGACTGATACACACTTTTCCCCATATAGAGCCTCTAACCAGCAGGCCAAAAGATTCATAATTGAATCTCGACCCAACGATTCAGGAAACTGACGCCATTTTTATGCAATATCCCCCCATGTATAGCCTCCTGTCACCCCTGACAGTTACACACTTTCCCCCATATAGAGCCTCTAACCAGCAGCCAAAAGATTCATAATTGAATCTAGATCCAAACGATTCAGGAAACTGACGCCATTTTTATACGCGTGATAACCGGATTAACGATAAACTCATTTAAACTAAAGCTATACAATATTGATAACACTATCCCCCCATGTATAGCCTCCTGTCACCCCTGACAGTTACACACTTTCCCCCATATAGAGCCTCTAACCAGAAGGCTAAAAGATTTATAATTGAATCTGGACATAACGATTCAGGAAACTGACGCCATTTTTATTCGCGTGATAACCGGATTAACGATAAACTCATCCCCATGTAGAGCCTCCTGTTACCCCTGACTGATACACAGTCTCCCCCCATACATAGCCTCTAACCAGCAGCCAAAAGATTCATAATTGAATCTCGACCCAACGATTCAGGAAACTGACGCCATTTTTATACGCGTGATAACCGGATTAGCGATAAACCCATCCCCTCCACAGCCCGGCGGATATGACCCCGCTTCCGCTGTGCCCGTGACAAACTCAGGCCTAGGGAACAAAATTTGTGTTTCCTGTTTCCTGACTGATCCTAGAAAAAACTGCTTATTATTAAGCCTTTTTTTAGTGGATCCCTGCAAGGGACATTTATTTTTCAAGCTGAAGCATCTCTGGTTGATTTCCATTCAACCTTTTCTAGCTCCATGACCTGAAATGCGAGTGATAAAACTTTGTCAAGAACTAGGGAAAAAATATTGTTTCCTGACCAACCCTAGAAAAAACTGCCGACCCTAGCCTGTTTTTGTGTGGACCTAGCTGCATGATCTGACACCTGAGTGATGAAACATTGTACCATCGGTTTTCCAGCATTGACATTGAAAATAAGTGTGTAAGTTTTACTTCGTTAAACTGTAATGTTTTATCACTAGAGGTTGCCAAAGTCTAATAAAAAAAGAAAGAAAGAAAAAAAAATCCCTACCTACCGACCCTGCTTTTTTCAGGACTGAAACAGGAAACACTTTCATTTTTTTCCTAGGCCTCAGAAGACCGAGGCTGAACCTGAAGCGTCTCCGTTTGATTTCCATCCAAACCTGATTATCACAGCTATGATGGAGGAGCAGCCAACGCATGACCATTTATCTCCTACCTTCTCTGACAGTTTTATGTATAAATTCAGAGGATGAGTTATAAACAAAATGCTGGAAGGAATATCTTATTCACTACCTGAACCTGTGTGTACCCTCAGACTCTGTTTTCATGGCTAGACCAACAACAATAAAAAATCAATAAAAAATGTTCCTCTATTTCTACACTGACAATTTTAGATAAAAATTCAGCAACAGGACAACATTATAGGAAGAAAGCTCTCCCTCTATATCTACAGTATATATATTTATACAGTCCCTTAAAACTGTGTGTACCATAAGTAAGACTTCCCCTCATATTGAAGCACAGGGGAGGTACATTCACTAAAATGTCTGAATCAACAGTCCAGAAATCTTTACTAGGCACCAGTTCTGCCAGATAGAACCTTCAGACATTTCCATCATCGCTGGAATAACCAGGTTTCAGGGGGAATAAAACAGGGACGTCCTAGATAGTTGGCTAGGGTTGTCCCAATCCCTCAGGCATCATGTTAAGGTTCTGCATAACCTTAAAGTCACACATGTCAAGGATCATACATGTAAGTTACATCACAACATTTCCGTCTTAGATGTTTTCATCATTGCTGAAATAACCAGGTTTCAGACGCAATGAAACAAGGACGTCCTAGTTGGTTAGAATTGTCCCAAAATCTAGGTCATGTAGTCCCCAGGATTCCTGAGTTCCATCAGATTTCTGTCTCAGACATTT